AGAAAATACCTATAAGATTGATCAGAAGGCAAGCCTGTAGAGTAGTGCCTCAATTCGTAATGGATGTGGGAGGGCCCAGCCTTTTGTAGGTGGGACCATCCCAGGGATGGTGGTCCTGAGATCTGTAAGAAAGCAGGCTGAGCAAGACAGGAAGAGCAAGTCAGTAAGCAGCACCCCTCCATGGCCTCTGGATCAGCTCTTGCCTCCAGGATCCTGCCCTATTTGTGATCCTGTTGTAATGTCCTTCAATGGTGAACAGTGATGTGGAAGTATAAGTCAAATAAACCCTTTCATCTCCAATTTACTTTTGGTCATGGTGCTCCATTGCAGCAACAGTAACCCTACCTAGGACAGTCTCGTATGCCACTGATATGAAGGGAGATTGGTACAGTATCTTTGCAGGACTGCTGGCATCCCCACAGCTTTCGTGTTAGAAAGCTGGCATACATTTGGCCAACAGTTCTCTTCCCAAGAATTAAGCCTGCAAACATAAGCAAAAAGCCCATCGAAGATATCTAGGGTTCTGCTTTTGGTAGTAGATAATTTAAATTACCTTTCAATACTTGGGCAGTATTTTTGAGACAATGAAAGACAAATGAACAACTTAAAATAATTAGACCTCTGTATGTTGTATGAATGGACAGACATGATGGAGTCACCAGAAAACCCGCTCCTGTCCCAATGATACTGTGTTGTCCTGCTGCCAGAAAGGAACAAGCACAAGCTGAGAAAACCCCTTAAAGGACACCCTAGCATCTGTTAACAGTGGTGGCATTGTAGGAACAGAATTGAAACTTTGGAAATAAGGCCCAATTTCCATTGAATAATTGCACATTTAAAAGTGACTGTCATTTTTTTCAGATTTCAGCAGGCCAGACACTACCCTTCTGCCTTACAGTGTCTCATCTTGGAAGCATCGTGCCTATTGGGTTTAATTAGCTTTATGCTACAGATGGGACATTGTGATTTGGAAAGACTGAGTAACTTGTCCAGGGTCACACAGCTGGTGTCCTTGTTCCATCATCAATAGGAAGATTTACATAAGCAGTTTGTGGGACTTGGTTCTCAATAGACTCACATATGTTCACGATTTGCTACTTCCGAAGGCTGGACTCAAGGTTTTCAAATATTGTTATCTCAAAATAGAATAAAGATGCACTGCTTCACTTTCTAAAATGTCCTTCTTCCAAAGCCTTAGTGTCAGGGTATTATTTCAAATTCGGAAAAGGTTGGTGGTCCCCTTTACTTCCTTCAATAACATTAGTTTCACAAAATGCTGAGGTGGGGGGGTGAGGGAGATAAAGAAACTGATGACACCATCAGCCATGTGTCGTAGAGCCAGCAAGGTTCTGTCTCTTTAGGGAAAGACTTAGGGAGCATCATTTGATTCATACGATTCTAAATGAAAGGAAAAGGTCCATGTTGCTCTCCCTAGTTCTCCAGTTGGAGTGGGTAGATGTGTAAAAACAACATTATGATGCCTGGGAAGACAGTGGAAGAGCCTGGGTCCAGAATCAGAAAGGCAAACCCTATATATACATGTATAAAACACTGTGGGGCTTCAGCCAGAAATCTACATTTCTGAATTTGTCTCTCTCGTTATGGTACTGTCTCAATGCATAAAGTTTGGTTGTACTTTCAAATTAGCTTTCTTAGTAACTGGTTATTGTGTTGTTAGGCATTTGGGGGGATTGTTGTAGTTGATTTCGAGCTTTCTTAGTAACTGGCTATTGTGTTGTTAGGCATTTGGGGGGACTGTTGTAGTTGATTTAGAGCTTGTCTTGCAGTCAGTTAAAAAGAAAAATATATCATTAAAAATGGGTGTATGTGTTTTGCTTCCGTGGACATCTGTGTACCACAAGCATGCCTGATGCTCATAGAGGCCAGGTGAAGGCATCAGATTTTTTGCAACTGGAGTTACAGAAGGTTGTGAACTCTCATGGGGGTGCTGGAAACTGACCTGGGTCAACTGGAAGGGCAGTCAGTGCTCTTAACCACTGAGCCATCTCTCCAGCCCTTTGTCACTTCTAATCAGCCACTCACTGCTTTTCTCCCTAGGCTGTATTCCAGGGAGAAGGGACTTTGGGTGGCCGGGTCTGTTCTCTCTTTAACTTATGAGACATGAGATGTGTTTTCTATCTTGATTTTTTTCCCTCAGACTTTTCTGAGAACTGGCTTTTGGGAAGCTCATTCAATTAGAAAGGGACACTCGCTAACTAGAGCAAGTGGCTCTGACAGGCCTTGCCCTTCTCCCCAGTTCCCTCTGCCTTTCTAAAAACCATTAGATTACATTCCTGATGTTAACCCCCAAGGTCTCTTCCTTTACTGGGCCAGTCCCTCTTCCTGAGGCTGACTACCAAGGTCCAGCTATCCAAGTATTGAAACCCAGCAATTAAAAGCCTTTTTTGGCTTACCTAGTTAGCAGGCCCAATTAAAATGAATACCCATCCTTACATGGGGTTTCCATTTTGTACCTTTATAGCTGACGTTTTTCCTATATGCCACATCTGCCTCCTCTCTATCCACAGACAGTCCTTTGTTCCCCTTTGGAACAAATATCTCTGCACCCTTTCATTTGTTCCCTTCCCCTTCTACCCAGTCCTCTATCTCCTGTCTTTTTTTCTTATTCACTGTCCTCTGTGGCAAATAAATCTCCTTTTTTCTGAGAACTTGGTCTTGAAGTTCCTAAGTTAGTACTTTTCCTTTCAAAAGTTACCAGGTACTTTGACATGAAATCACTTATTATTTTTGGTTAATGCTTAAAATGATTTAGAAAAAGACGTGGCTCATGAGATAGATTGATATCACAATGAGACTTGAAGCTAGGTACTTGCTGTGTGCTTGGAGAATAGGGATATTGCTGTGAGCTAGCCTGCTAGTGCAAAAAAATCCAAATGAATTACTGGATTTGCTCAAGATAAAATCTTGGGTTCGCAAATAAATTCTGGTCAATTTTTCTTAATGTTACCATGGTAAATAATGTATTCCTAAGATTCATGTACTAAATGTAAAAAGTCATTGATTTGGTCATGTCAATATGTAATTTGAGAGAAAATGTATAAAAGCATTTAGCTAATTATTTCTATGACATCTCAGAGTAAGGAATGCACCAAAAATTGCATTTCTACCCACATGTATAAAAAAAATGTCTCAGAGGTGACATTCTTCTTGTATCTCATTTGAGTAGTTTCTGGTTCTTTCTATTCTATTCCATTTAAAATTTTAATGTTTCTTATGAATGCCAAACCTGTTTCTTAACTTATTGATGGGATTTCACTCACAGTAAAATGTTCCCCGAGGTGGCCCAAATGCTCACATTATTCACATTTATAAGGTTCAATTGTTTGGTGGTTCTTGAATATCCTTATGGCTTAGTTTGATAAATTTGCTGGGAGCCAAACTTACATAAATCATGGTACTAGACTCCCTAAGGGTTCACCTGTTTCCATGGGCAATCTTCTGAGACTGCAGAGAAACCAGAGTGAACAAAACGACCTACAGTCTGTCTCTGCAACATATGCTGTGGTGGTCATTCACATGCATAGCACTTCAGGAGGGAAACAGCTTTATCTGCACCTTCTAGGTAAAGATGTTTCCTCATCTAGGAGATTTTTACTGGGGATCATATGGAGAAACTGATTTTATTTCCTATCAAATCACATTGCTATCTGGGGTTCAAGTCTGAGCTGGACCATTTGTAAAACCTAAGTCCACAATAGACCTATGATCTCACACGACTAAATGGATTTTGTGTTAGGAAGAGAAGAATGAAAGCTCAGAGAGGAAGTAGTAATGATGTCATTATAAAAAATGTGTGAGCTTCAGAAAACCCAGAGACCTTCAGGAGGCCTGACCATCTCTTTTCCCCTTTATGGGAAGATAAGCTAGTTGTCGACGAAAAAGACAGAAAACAGCTCTTCATGGGTTGAGAGAGAAGTAGGCAGAGAGCTCAGTCAGTAAGGGTGCTTGCTTCCAGACTGACCAACTGAGCTGTTTAGAGAGCGCACATTCTAGAAAGAGAATTGGCTCGCCAATCTGTCCCCTTGCCTGCATACATGCCCCATGAATAACTGAATGCAAATTTCCCAAGAGATAAGAGATCCTTTCTAGTGTTTCACAGTATTTTTTTTTTTTTAGGAAGTTCTTTAAACCTCTCGCTTGGAATTTGTGTGTCAAAATCCTGATTCCAAAACCAAGAAATACACTTTCTTAAGGTCATCAGGGCAAGAAAACAAAGATGGCCACCTGCCAGAGAGAGTCTGAATTTTGTTCTCATCAGGAATTATTTTATGAGCTTAAGCCTGAAAGATCATGTGTGCTTATAGTGGGTGTCTCTTCTCATCATGAGACACTGTGGATGCAAGGGAGCATGCGTGGTTCATCTCATCTTCAAAGCTTGCTTCGGTGGACCTCTTTACACATTCTTATCTGTAAGCTGGAGATGAGCTCATTTTGTGAACTTATGGGTGCATCATTTTACTCCTTGGGAAAACTGAAAACATTTAGGTACAAAAGAGTGAGGTAGTGGTAAAACAAGCAAGCAGGAAAAAAAGTTAGAAACATAGCTGTTATACATGAAGCCATATGCCCTCTGTACCTAGTGCCAATAGTCACTTTGGCTTCAGTATCTACAGGCAAATCAGTGTTCTGTGTTCTTAGAGACAGCAAGCTCCACTGCTTCTGTCCTTCCTAGGATTCAATGTATTTTTAAGTTTCCTTTATTTTTATGAGTATTTCTTCTCAGAGCACTCTATATAATATCATTAGACTACAGGCTTCACAAACGTAGACTTCCTGTTTTCCCTGTCTTAACACAACCTAGGCTACATGTGGCTAGTGGCTAATAAATCATTTTCAGTGAATGAGCTGATACTTTAACATAGTTTGCGGTGCCATTTTAGACCAGGTCCTTCGATTTAGCCCAATGCTTGTTTCTTTGATTAGCTGTTCAAAAGTCATTTACAGTCACTCCTAACACCCTGCATTCTCCTGCTTTACAGTCAGCTTCGATCACTTTGAAATTCTGCGGGCCATCGGGAAGGGCAGCTTTGGCAAGGTAAGAGCTGATTTGTCCAACTCCCTGCAGAGCTGTGGGTCCTGGACGATCAGAGAATGCTGTGATTGTCGAGGTCCTGGCATGATAAAGACAGATAACTAGGGAATCTTTAGGACTTTCCCAAACTTGTCACCACCACGTGATGAAAGTCAACTTCACGACGAACCATGTGCTGGCTCAGGACTGCCTTGCTCAAGTCAGCTCTGCCTAGTCCAGCCTCCTGTAAGAAACTCTTAGATTCTCCATGGAGACATCCTTTAAGATAAAATAATAATTTTCTATTAAGTTTGCATGTTATTTTGAGAAGGTTGCAGAATGTGGGCAATTGTGTGGCAGGTTCCTCCTGCTCACTCTTTCCCATTAGAACACTTATGCTGGGAAACACTCTGCCTGGTGAGATTTTTGACTTTAGCTCTCCAGTCACATCCGTTCCAGCCACTTAAAGGGGGATCAAGGAAGCTATCTGTTATCAGAAGATTCTTAACATGGAAGCAGATTTAAATGTTGTCTCGAAGATCCCAGGAGCAAAAGCAGGCAAACTAACATGAGGATGCAGAGATTCAATTATTGATGTACTAAATGCATCAATAAATCCATGGGGGAAGAAAATGAAATCTTTACTCTGAGTGAAATAAAAGCTTTGATCCCAGAGAATGACAAGGGCTCTATGGCATGCTAAAGGATAAACCCTTCTGTGTCCCTCAGCCACCTTTTCTTTCTCCCTAATCATTGGCTGACCTGGACTTCCATCACCAGGTCTGCATCGTGCAGAAGAATGATACCAAGAAGATGTATGCCATGAAATACATGAATAAGCAGAAGTGTGTGGAGCGCAATGAAGTGAGGAATGTCTTCAAGGAACTCCAGATCATGCAGGGCCTGGAGCACCCTTTCCTGGTGAATCTGTGGTAAGTGTGCTGACTGTGTCTCTGAATAGACACTCCTGCGTCCATCTGCAAACATGTTTAGACCATCATGACATGACTGCTTAATGTGCGATGGCCAATTCTCATTATGGTTTTCTTTAATGTGTTGCACAAAACTTTGCTGTTAAAATGAGGGGAAAGAAAGTTGGTTTATTTATTGCCGTGCTGGGAGGACCTTGCACACGAACTAAGTGCTCTACCAAAATGGTTTTTCTTTTAATGTGTGTGTATGATGTATGTGTGTAGTGTGTATGTGCGGGTGGGGGTTAAGTTCATATGTGCCTGTGAGTGTGAGTGGAGCTGTGTGTGCACTTGTACGCCTTTGCAGGTCAGAGGACAACCTTGGGTGTTGATCTTCCACGTCCACCTTATTTGAAATAGTAGTTTCCTGTTGTTGACTGCTGTGCACACCAGGCTGCGGGGGGGGGAGGGGGCAGCTTGCAAGCTTCTAGAGATTCTTCTGTCTCTATCTTCTATCTGACAGGCGAGAATTACAGATGTGTGCAGCTGCATCCAGCTTTACATGGGTGATGGGGATCTGAATTCTCATTCTCATGTTTGTATAACAAACACTTTATCCACTGATCCATCTCCACACCCCAAAGTTGCTGCCCCCCATTTTGTCAGGGATAAATATTCCCCCTTGCCTTTAGGCTTAGTGTTTTTTTAAAGAATTTTAATTACATGGACCAATAATGAATGCGCTCAGACGTGTTATCTCTAATTAGATAGATTTTTCTGATGAACTGTGGGGCATGAACTTTCGGTGCCTAGTAAGGCCTCCCTCATGAACATGAAGTTTGCCTTGAGATCTTGTAGAAGACAGTTTCTCCTTAAGGTAACTGGTAACAGGCTGTGTTTTTGGTTTTTTTTTTTGTTTTTGTTTTTGTTTTGTTTTTTGAGGCATACTTTGGAAACAGCTATAGATGCCTGTGATTTGCTACGGTCGGGTGCTGCCTTCCTCAATCAATAGGTTTAGACACTTGCTACACATTAGCTATCTGAGATCAGGTCTTTTCCATAACCCAACGCTTTTTCCATAACCCAACGCTTAGAAGACTTTGAGATACTCGTAATGTTTATTATTACCCCTAGTGCTTTTCTTGTGCATTGAGATCTTTGTTTCTCTCTCATTTTCCAGTACATTTGAATACATCTATTATGTTAAGAGCTGGATCTTAAAGTTAATTCAGTATGTCTGTTATTTAAATATGCATGCCAAGCAGTTCTTACTCACCAGCGGGAGCAAAGAATATGAAAATCTTTATCCAGAGAATACTAATGGAAGAATAATTGAGATTTTGCTATGTGTTTGAGAACATCCTTTTGGAGGCATCAGGGCATGAAGCCTGCCTCCATCCATCTTTACCTAGCACAGTCCACTTAATCTGCAATGTGTTAGATGCTTCTCAGTTAAAAAGGGGATGGCTCTGTGTGACTTAGAAATAGATCTATTGTAATTTGTGCACTACTCAGACCTGCTAAGTCTAATTTTGGTACAGCATCAGTGTACTTGTTAATCAGAATTTTAGAGTGGCCTATTCAGAATGCTACCATGTAAGATGCTAAAATGGATGCAGGCTTTCTCTTGCTTAGCAATCATCATATCCTCTCTTCTCTCTCCTCCCTAAAAATGACAAGGTGCTGTCACTTCACAGCCTCCCTTTGTTCGAAGTCATATTTTTCCTCCTTAAAAAGTTCAGCCAACTCATTTTCCCTTTTTAGCGCCAAGAACTCTTCATAAGGACACACCTAGAGTGTTCCTCTTTTGTGCTGTCTCTTCTGGCTGTGTGGGCAGAGGCAATGAAACCTGGGGGCCGGGAGGCAAGAAGCAGAGACAGTTTAAAAACTCTGTGTTTCTGATCCTACTGCACGCACTGGCTTTGTGGGAGCCTAGGCAGTTTGGATGCTCAACTTACTAGACCTGGATGGAGGTGGGGGTTCCTTGGACTTCCCACAGGACAGGGAACCCTGATTGCTTTTCGGGCTGAGGAGGGGGGGGGACTTAATTGGGGGAGGAGGAGGGAAATGGGAGGCGGTGGCGGGGAAGAGACAGAAATCTTTAATAAATAAATAAATTTAAAAAAAAAGGAAAAAAAAATTCTGTCAATCCAGACCACATTCTGTTCACTGTGCAGAGCTGGCCATACATAGTGTGACAGACTTGCTATCACAGTGGCTCTCAACCTTCCTGATGTTGTGACCCTTAATACAGCTCCTCCGGCTGTGGCGACCCCCAACCACAAAATGATTTCCATTGCTACTTCATAACTTTAATTTGTACTATGACAAAGCATAGCATAACCCTGTAAAAGGGCTATTCTACCCTCAGAAGGGTAATGACCCACAGGTTGAGAAGCTTTGTGCTAGAACATATATCCCCTGTTCTTTTTCTGTTCTCATTGAAGTTCACAGTGAAATTGTGGGCACATTCTATTGATAGACACAGTGCAGAACGCACAATTATTTTTTTATTTGTTGACAATGTACGTGTCAGTGTGTGTGTGTGTGTGTGTGTGTGTGAATTTTCATCCTCCATTCTTTCCTCTCAATCCTCCTCCTTCCCTCCCTTTGGGACTTTCCTTTTCCCATAAGTGTCCCTCCTTCTTTTTTGAATGTTCCTGGCTCACTGAGTTTCATTAGGACTGCTTGTTTGAGTATAGGTGGGAGGTTATTTAATGGGGCCAAGGCAACTAACTTAACAGTGCCTCCATCAGGAAAGAAAGGGACGTCACTTTTCCAAGCTGCCATTAACTGTCTGTAATCCCTTTGGGAGAAGTGGGGACTCAGGATGGAATATTGACAAGCCCTATCTTGGGCAGGGCTTTTCCAGGTAAACACAGCTGAAATAAATTCAGCACGACAACAGTTGCGTCATCTCTAGAGAAGTGGTTTTGTAACGCACCTTCCCATCTTCGAGCTCTTCCATTCTTTTCACCCCCTTGCCTACACTGTCCTCTGAGCGTGGAGTGTGTGTATATAGATATATAGGTATCTCCTTTCCTTTAGGGCTGAGCACACTGGAGGCCCTGGCACTTGGCATTTTTACCAGTTGGAGTCTGCACACCGTAGTAAGAGCCTTCTCTGATAAGGTCTGAGAGAAGCAATATCTGAGGATAAAAACACGAGTGTTTAGAAGGCATTCGGACCACATGTCCCTTAGCAAAACACTACAGTGTGTTCCCTAGGGCCATTGATTCCCCTAGTCATCAGCTCCTGATCAGGGTTTTTGTACCGGGCATAAAGTCTCTCTGTTAGCGTCGGCACGGAATCCAGTCAGAAAGCTCTTTGTTATCCCATCACAGCTATGCTGCTATTGCACCAATGGGTGCTCCCTGTCAGGGGGATTGTTATTATAGTTCAAAGTGTCTACAGCTGGATAAGACTGTATACATGCACTCTCTTCCTCAGCAGCCTTCGCAGTACCTTCCAGCACTATGGAAGCCAACCAGGATAGAGAGGGAGCTGCCAGAGAAGTTTCGGCTTGATTTCCCCACATCCAGTGACCAAAGTGTGTGGTATCTTCAGCAATGGAGTCTTACCATCTAGCGCTAGTGGGCACCCAGGACGATGGCAATAAACTCTATTGTTTTGGGTACCTATGGCAACTCCCTGATCAGCAACAGATAAGGGGGAATCCCACACCTGGAACTCAGAGTTATATTTAGTAACCTCTGGCTTCTGGGAAGGGCTTTATTACCGTGTAGGGAACCTTCATTTAAACTTGTTTTTTGAAACTGTGTTTTTAATGTTTACGAACTAGGTACCCATATGGCTTTTTGCACATTCCCCTAGTCTTGGTTTGTCTTCTACACACCTCCCCTGCCATGCCTACCTAGTTTCTTCCCCACTCAACACCTCTCCATTCCTAGTCCTGACCTTTCTACCTTCATGCCATCCTGTCTCTCCCATTCCCCTTTAATCCTTTAAGACAAAAATCTTCACAGAGGGCATGTATTCCTTCTCATTGTAGGGCTTTCTGTCCTAGCGAGTTACTGTATTTTTTTTTAAGGGAGTCTTTTCAGGAGAAATAAGCATGTTACAAACCTTCTGAGTTTTAATAATGAATGACCTGTCACTTTCAAGTTTCATCATCAGAAGACATGGTTACAATGAATGGCGGCTTGTTCCGGTGGATGAAAAGGGTCACCCAGCATATAGGCTTTTGCAACTATTTATTTGCATTTTTTTTCTTTCTTGCTCCATGTTGTTATAATATTCTAAACAACTGGCCAATGTGGGTGCCCAAAAGTCTACCTTGAACAATGCTTAATTCCAAAGCATCATGGGAAGCATCACTGAAGTGTCTTTAGTACATTCTTTATTAGAGTTGATTTTGATTTCCTGCTTTCATTCTGAAAATCAAACATAAGCTAATTAAATGTTCCCCAAAATATTATATATAACAGATTTATGTTCTGGCCCAACAATTAGATTTATTTGGCTATCTCCAAAACTTTGGAGGGTAGTACCTTAAGAAACATCATATAATATATAAAACTACAGCAATCCTTTCAAAAACCCCTGCCTATTTCACATACTCTGTTTTCCTAATAGGCTCCCCACATCCTACCACGTATTGCCTTGAATAACCTCATCCATTCTCAAGATACATCCAGCCTTTAGGGCTGTACTCTGACCTCAGTTTTCAAGCTGAGAAAAATAACCAAATTTCTCTTAAACACCATTTGCTTTAATGTTAAGAGACATAAATGTATAGGTATACATATAGGTGTGCACACCTATCTCTCTCTGTGTGTGCATGTATATATGCTTGAAATTTTTCTGCTTATTGCAACCAATTTGAAAAACAGAAAATGAATTATATAGACAAACGAGAAATTCTTAGAAGTTTTAACCCCTTCAAACAATCATGTTTAATGTTTTAATGTGCATTCTAGCATAATATTTGCATATAGTTTTCTGGTTTTGGCCCACATTGGCCCCGTTATTTCCTTCATTGGTGTGTATATTTACTGAGC